GAAGGAAACAATTCAAGTACTGTGGAAACACAATCAGGATAACACAAGATTTAGCAGCTTCTACATTAAAGGACCGCAGGGTATGGAATATAATATTCCGGAGGGCAAAGGAAATAGGATTACAACCAAGAATCACCTACCCAGCAAAACTGAGTATAATCCTTCAGGGGAAAAAATGGTCATTTGGTGAAATAGAGGACTTTCAAGCATTCCTGATGAAAAGACCAGAGCTAAACAGAAAATTTGACCCTCAAATACAGGACTTCAATGGAACATGAATAGGTAAACAAGAAAGAGAAATCATAAGAGACTTATTAAGATTGAACTGTTTACATTCCTGCATGGAAAAATGATATTTGTAACTCATGAGAACTTTGTCAGTATTAGGGTAGTTGAAGGAAAAAAATTGTATGTATGTATGTATGTATATATAGATAGATAGATAGATAGATAGAGGGCACAGGGTGAGTTGAAGATTAAGGGGTCATATCTGGAGAATAAAATTAAGGGGTAAGAGAGGATGATACTCGGAGAAGAAAGGGAGAGGTAGAATGGGGTAAATTATCTCACAAAAAAAAAAAAAACAGAAAAGTCCCTCACAGTGGAGGGGAAACAGGGGAAGGTGAGAGGGAATGAGGGAATCTTATTCTCATAGGATTTGGCTCAAGGAGAGAATAACATACACATTCAATTGGGTATGGAAATCTGTCTTACCCTACAGGAAAGTAGGGGGAGAAGGGGACAAGAGAGCAGGAATAAAACAAACAAACAAACAAAAAAAAAAACCTCTGTGGTCATTGCATAAATTGTTGTCCTAGTTCTGATCAGTTCACTACATCAGTTCAAGTCATTGGTTTCTCTGAATTCATCCGTTTTGTCATTTCATTCCAGCACCATTATAATTCTATTATATTCCTAGGCCACAGTTTGTTCAGCCATTCCTTAAATTGATAAGCACACACTTTGTTTCTAGTTCTTTGCTATAGCAAAAGGCGCTTTTATAAATATTTTGTACACATAAATCCTTTCCCTCTTCCTTTAATCTTTTTTTGTGTATAAAGTGGTCTCACTGGGAATACATATTTTAGTGACTTTTTGGATAGAGTTCAAAATTGTTTTCAAGAATGGTTATCTACTTCACAGTTTCGCCAGCGGTGCGTTATTATGCCTGTCCTTCCAAATCCCCTCTAACAGTGCTAATTTTACCATTTTACCATCTTTGGTAATCTTATGAGTGCGAATTGGAACCTCAGAGTTGTTTTAATATTAATTTCTCTTATCATTAGTAATTTGGAGCATTTCTTCATGTATTTGATAGCTTACCTTTCTTCCCTCGAGCTTTGTCTGTGCTAGACCAAGATTGTCCTTTGACCAAGTATCTATTAGGGAATGGCTCTTCTTCTCACATATTTGTATCAATTCTCTACATATCTCAGATGTCAAACTTTCATCTGAGAAATTTGCTACAAAGATTTTTTCCCCCAATATGGCTGTGTCCCTTCTAATTTTAAGTGTATTGATTTTGTTTGTGCAAAAAAAAATTCAATTTTATATAATCTTTTCTTTAATGAGAGAAAACTATATAACCACAGACCCTCTCTATCTCTTGGTTGGCTAAGAAATCTTCCCTTATCCCTAGTTCTGAAAGCTTTCCTACTCATCTGTGTTTCTGACATGTCCTTCTATATCTAGGACTTGTATCTATTTGGAGGTTATTTGCTATACAATATAAAATGTTAGTATAAACTTCATTTCTGCCAGGCTACTTCTCAGCTTTCTCAGAATTTTTTGTGAATTATTAAGTCCTTATCCCAGTAATTGGAATCCTTGGGATTATTGAACTGTATGCTGCTGTGTTCATTGATTGCTCTTGAATCTGGTGTACCTAATCTGTTCCAATGGCCGGTAGTACAATGGAGCAGTGGACATGGAGTCAGGAAGACCTGAACTCAGTTGCAGCCTCAGACTCTTACTAGTAAGTTATGTGATCCAGGGCCAATCATTTAACCTCTGTTTGCCTCAGTTCCCTCAGCTATAAAATAGGGATGAAAATAGCATCTACAGAGTTATTGTGAAGATCAGATGAGATAATATTTGTAAAACGTGCTTAGAGCAGTGCCTAACACATAGTAGATACTGTATAAATGCATATTACCTTCCCTTCCCATTAATCAATTTCTCTATTTTTTAACCAGTACCAAGTAGTTTTGATGATTACTGCTTTGTAATCTAATTTGAAATCTAGTACTGCTAGGCCCCTTTCCTTCCTGCTTATTTTCATTATTTTGTTTTAAATTCCAGGTTTTTTGTTCCTCCAGATGAATTTGTTATTATTTTCTAGTTCAATTAAAGTTATTTGGTAGTCTGATATGACACTGCATCTATAACTTAATTTTAGATGGTATTGTCATTTTTATTATGTGGACATAGTCCTACTATGAGCAGTTAATATTTCTTTAATTATTTAGATCTGTCTTTATTTCTGTAAAGAGTGTTTTGTAGTTGTTTATATAATCCCTATGTGTATCTTGGTAGCTGGACTCCCAGCTTGTGTAGTTAACTTTGACTAGAATTTCTTTCTCTATTTCTTCTTGCCAAGTTGTGTTTGTAATATGAAGAAAGCCTGATGACTTTTGTTAATTTATTCTGTATCTTGCTTCTTCACTAAAGTTATTATTTCAATTAACATTTTAGTTGTCTGTCTAAGGTTCTCTAAGTAAACCATCATGTCATTTCAAAAATTGATCATTTTATTTCCTCTTTGTTGTCTAGTGTTTATTAAAAACAGGAATTGGAATGAAAATGTTTCTGTGGAAATGTTACTGTACTATTTCCCAAAGAAAAAAAATAAATGGTCTCTCTTTATGCTTGTAGAAGTAATCATGGCTTCCTATTAGCTGTTAAGCTTTACTTTGAGTCCTAAAGTATGAGAATTCAAAATGAATCTTGCTTAGTACTAAGGATTTGATATACTGCTATTTACTTTATGACCTCTGATTAACAACATATGTCTGAAAGCCTTTGTAGTTGTAATAAAATATTTACATTCAGTATTACAGATTTAAACTACAGCTGCATCAGTGTTCAAGAAATGTATATATGCCCTTAGATATTTGATTTCAAAGAACTTTAATTCAACAGGGCTGTAGAGACTGTACTAGGCATAAATCTTCAATGTATTTAAAGACACAAATGCCAAGATTGGAAATATAATACTGGCATCTATATTTTATTAAAGTATAATTTAAAATGTCGCATTATTGTTATACATTGAGTTACATTGTATCTGTGCATCTCATGTGTATGTTTATATGTGTGTGTATGTGTTTGTGTTTTGGGGTGTAACTTTGGACCAGGGTGGTAACTAAGGATGCTAAGAAGCTATTCACCTCCTAGTGTGAGGCTGTCAACCAGGTAAAGGGACAATGAGTGCCCTCTTACTTGGTAGCTACATATACATTCTTAGAAACTGACTGAAAATCATGCTCCCTTTTTTCCTGTCTGAAATCAGTTTCAATTCAGTGGTACTTTACTCTCCTTTTTCTCCCTCTGCGTTAAAGCTGATGAAAGATGGTTGTGTATTTTCTATTTTTCACCCTTTTTTCTCTTAACACTGCATGACATTCTGAAGACACAAAAATATATTGACCAGCCCAAAATAATTTCTTTAGATTTTGTTTTATTTTTTAAATACTGACAAAATGTTTGAAATGCTGCTGCAATTTACACATTTGAAATCAAGCTTTGCATTACCGTTTAAAGTGAAATGCTTTGTCTCCATGAACATACAGAGAGTATATCAGAAGAGCAAAATTCTGGAGTTTATTCTCATACCTCTGAGTAGTTTTTTCTTCCATCAAGCATTATTTATACCTATGTTATGTCTTTTCCTGTTTGTCACTGAGCTGTTCATATGTGATTTTTTAAATTAACTCAAAATTGTTGATGGAAGTGACATTTCATATTATTTGTTATCTGCCTCTCTAATGCATTAATATTGTTCTTGAACTTAAGTTCCATTCTGGACAGAACAATATAATTGAAGACTTGCATGCACACTTCAAGTAATCCAGTTTTGAAGATAAATATTGGGGAAGTGTAGTATCTAATAACTGGATGATATATTGAAATGAACTATAAAGTGCTTTTGGTTCTATGTTGTGAAGCCAGTGCTTCCTTGAGTTTCCAGTAAGGAAACCATCCCATTTTTTAAACCACAATAGAGCATGATTCGGTGATTTAGTTCATCAAATACAAGCTGTAGCTTTATTTCCAAAAAAGAGAAAGGTCCATCAATGAATTAACTTCCTATTTTCTTGATTAGTGGCTCCTTTTTGGTTTTCTCATGAATTTGTGTATCTGTACCTGAAGAGCTTTGATTCCTCAACCAGATTTTTGAGTGTTTTTCCCTTTTATTTTTATAGCTTCCAAAGTCTACCATTCAGAGATTAACCGTGTTCAGAAATCAGGAGAGTTGGGGCCAGTACAAGCAAATACCACAGTAACTGATATTGTATGACTGTGTTTTCCCACAATAAAAGCATTCAGATTGACTCATTTTATGACAATGGAAATGGAAGAAAGCTGAGTTTCTTTCCTATTCGTATTTCTTTTGTAAAGAATGTCCCAAAAGGATACCATTGCAGTGAACTCAAGGATACTATAAATAAAGACATTTCAAGGCTATCTGGAATAAACAAGATACATTAGAGAAGTACTTGGAGCCTAGATTAACTAAAAATGTTCATACATGTGTGTCAGGCAAGTAGAGGGATAGATAGATGGATGGATGGATAGGTAGATAGATAGATACTTATATCTCTTCTCTCTCTCATTTGTGTTTCTCTGCCAAAAAAATCTTATGCTTGAAAAAGAGAGCTGTTCTGTGAAACTAAAAAAATTAGACATTCATTCAAATAAGAATTTTGTTGTATAATCTAGGCTATATTGGGCTGATTACAGATCATATCATTTTGATCTCCATCTCTTATTCTTTTCAGATAACAGCGATTTAATTGCTTGTACAGTGATTACAAAAGATGGAGGTCTCGTTCAGCGCTTTCTAGCTGTGGATATTTATCAGATGAGTTTGGTGGAGCCAGATGTTGCAAGACTAGGGTGGGGAGTAGTCAAGTTTGCAGGTCTCTTGCAGGTAAGGTGTCAGAAAGTTCTGAAAATACTCTTATGTATCTTGTGACTCAGAGTTAGGAGGGATCTAAAAGGTGATCTAATTTATCCTCCCAGTTAACGTGAAAATGCCTCTTAGAACATCTTTGAAGTCTTTGTTGGACTACATTCGGTGTTCTTAATGACTTAGAAGGCAGTTCTTTTACTTCAGACAGCTTTAGCTGTTAGCTAACACCTGACTCCTTTTAACTTCTACCTGTTGATTCTAGTTTTGTGCTCTGGAGCTGCACAGCAAAAGTATTACACACAATAGTATTTAAACTATTTGAAGATCATTGTCAAACCTTAGGCTTTTCCAAACCGAATCTTTTTTCTTCCAAAAATGGCTGAAATTTTGCACTAGAACAATTTCCAGGTTTTTAAGTTTCATTTGTTCTTCTAAGGTACTTTTTATTTTTCGGATTTCACGGGTACGTAGAATTTACCATCCAAATAGCTACCTCTGATACATCATTCTTAATAAATAGGTTGCAAAATGTTTGAATAGGTGTAATACAGTCTATGATAATTCATGATTTAGACTTTAGTTCATTATCTCACGTTTCTCGGTATTAAAGAAAATTTGAAACATAGCTTTTTTTGTTAAAAGATTCTATACATATCTATTTAGCTGCCATCTACCTAGCACTTTAAGGTTTTCCAAGCATTTTACATACATTAAAGTTCATATCAGGTTTTTATTTGTTGATTGGAGCATGGTTAGTGGCTTAGAGTGTTATCTGCCACTCTTGCCTTCAGAATCATCAGATTTTCTAACATATCATCGTTCCACTTTTGTGTGGTATGGCTCTTGGCTTAGATCAGCGAGTTCCTGTTGGACCTAATCTTGTTCCAAAAGGTAAAAATGATGCTGGATTTGGCATCAAGATCCAAATTTGAGTTCAGGTTCTTGCCTTACCAGCTTTGTGACCTTGGAGATGTCAAGTACTTTGACCTCCTTGAGCTTCATTTAACTCATCTATTTAATGGTCATAACAATATTTGTATTACCAGCCTCACAGAGATGTGAGGAAAAGTGTAAAGCCCTATATGCTTCTCAGCACCTCTCTACCTGAGAGCCTTGTTTTCTGGAAGGAGGTACTGCCAGGGTATAGAAAGAGCCCAGCAACACTAGGTTCTGATCTTTGCTCTGTCATTGATGTGACCTATGGAAAATCCCATTCTGCCTCTCTAAGCTTCTGTTTTCTTCTCTGTCAAATAAAGTGTTTGAACTTGATGTTCTCCATGATCCCTTCTTGCTCTAAAATTCATGCTCCCTATGAAAGTAAAGGTTTCTCTCCTTTTACTTCCTCAGGCTTGTTTGCTGCATCAGACAGTCAACCAGTTAAAAGGACTTTGTCCTTGTTTTAATTGAGGGATGGGAATGGTGGGAGAGAATAGCCCTATAATATGGTATGCTATTTTGAAACTATTTGAAACTAGTATTTTGTGAGAAAGATCATGCAGTATTGTGTACTATAACTTCTTGAGGAGAACTGGCCTTTTTTAATTATTTTATTACATCTGATTATGTATAGTATCTAGAAGTCCTTTCCCTGCCTTTGCTCACTCACATCTTAGACTTGGAAAGGTAAGGGGAAAGGTAATTTGTCTTTTACCAGTTGAGTAGGCCTTCACGTTTTTGACATTTTTCGGAATTGTTTCCTAAGAGTTGAGTGGGCATTAGGGCCCTGGGGATGCTACCATATTATGAGCTTAATTGGACTACTTTTTTTTCTGCAGGATATGCAGGTAACTGGAGTAGAAGAAGATAGTAGAGCTCTGAACATTATCATTCACAAGCCTGCTTCCAGCCCCCATTCTAAACCTTTCCCCATTCTCCAAGCTACATTTGTATTTTCTGATCATATCCGCTGTATCATTGCAAAACAGCGCTTAGCAAAAGGTCGTATCCAGGCCCGGCGTATGAAGATGCAGCGTATAGCTGGTGAGTAGATTCATCACCTGCAGATTTTTCTTGTTTCCTTTTGTTAGTAGAATGACTTCCCTCTCCTGACACAGCAAAGGACTGTGATATGTTGAAACTGCTGATCTGTTGCAGTTGAAGATAGTGTACTTTTTAAATAAGACAACAAACCCAAGTTAGTAGTAAATTTTTTATTTCTGATTACTTAGAGAATGGAGAGATGACAATCAGAATTTCCAATAAATTTCTGTTGCTGTAGATGGTCTCTCTCAGATCTGGAGGAGAAGCTGACGCTTCCTCTCTACTTAGGCCCAGGATGAACAATTGGGATACTGATTTGTAAATTGGTTAAAATTACTTTTCATCTGGGTGGGATAGAGGAAATAGTCTCCTTATCAAAATCAATTTGTCCAGGTACTTAGCTGCTCTGATAAACTAACACAGTGAAAGAAATTCTTGGTTAGGGGTTATCCTCCCTGTTTATAAAGTTCTTTGTTAAAAGGCACTGTAGCTTAATGGGTACAGAGCTAGTCTCAAAGTCACGAAGACCTAGGTTCAATTTCTGCCTCTGACACATAATATCATAAGTCAAGATCTGAAAGGGCCTTAGAGATCATTTAGTCCAAGCTCCTTATTTTATAGATCAGGAAATAAGCCCCAGGGACTTGACCAAGATCACTCAGCTAATGAGCATCAGATATGAACCCAGGTCATCTGACTAGAGCCCAGTGTATTTTCCATTGGACCATATTGCTCCTGACTCAGGATAAGTCACTTGATCTCTCAATGTCCCAGGCAACTTTGTAGGACTGTGGGTTAGAGAAGAGTTACAGGTATCTGTCTTGGGAAAGGGATTTTTCTTCAGCTGTTCCCTACATTGATAAAATCAGAGACCTGGTTCCCCTCCTTAATTCCCCTCCCAGAAAGGTGCTAGCTAACTCAGTTCTGTAGGAGTAGAATCAGATACTATTGTAAGGAGATTTAGAGAATTTGAGAAGTAAGCTAATTTCAAACATTCTGTAAAGAAAATACACTTTTTTTGTGTTTAAAAAAGCTTTTTCAAAAACTGAGACATTTAGTGATTCCTGGTTAAGTAACCATTGTTTACATTTTGGTAAAAAGTCTTTGAAGTAGGCTCTTAACTTCAGTTTTTCTCAAGTTGTCCAATCATCTTTCAATTCAAGAACAAATGAGTTTTGCAGTACAGTTGTAGAGCTGGCTTTGTTTTAAGCCTACCTGGCAGTGCTTTCTCAAATTAATTCCCTGAAAATTTAAAAAAAAACTTTTTAGTGTCTAGGTTTATGAATATTCATGGATTTAGTTATTTACTAGGGTTCACTATCATCCTCACTTATTTTATTAATCCTCTATTCTGTTGAGTGCTTCTGTCATCTTATTTTCCATTTAACTAAAACTTGGCTTACAAAATCATTACAGAAGCATTTTGTAATTCAAGAAATTACTTAAATCACTCAATACTTTCTTTTAAGATTTATTCTGGGAGAATTTTCTCCTCTTTAAAGTAATTTCTTACAGCTGGCTCAACAGTAAAAATATTTCATTTTAAAATTGGGAATTATGCCGTAAAGTGGCTGTTAGAACTTATACCATAGGGTATTTTAAATATTGATTTTTAAAATTCTAACAGCTTTGATTTATAGTAAGATTTATTTATGGAAGTGGTGATTAGCAACTTCATCATATATAATTTTAGAGCTGAATATGTGGTCTGTGCCTTGGGGATTGAAATATAAAAAGTACCTGAGCCTTGGGAAATAAGGCCTTTTATGTTCACAAGTCAAGAAAAGGACGTAGTAGTGGGTCCAGGAAGAGTCTGGACTTGCACTTGGATCTCCAGATTCCCAGGCCATTGTGCCATTCATTAGTAGCATTGTGTAGCATTGTGTAGTGGAAAGTCAGCTGGTCTTAGAGTCACCACTTAGTTGTGTGACCCTGGGCAATTGATTTAGTTTCTCTATACATAAAGGGTTTTTTGTTTTATTTGGTTTTGTCTTTTGTAAATGGAGCTAATAATACTTGCACTACCTACTTCGTAAGGTTATGGTGAGGAAAGTAGTTTGTAAACTTTAGAGAACTATTAAAATGTGAACTGTTATTATTGTTATTACAAGAAAGAGTTAAGTATTATATTAGATTTTATGTTAATTCGAAGTATTTGTGGCATATAAAAATGACTTGAATGTGCTTTGGTTATTAAATACTTCATCTCAACTGTGATCAGGTATTAGTATTATAGCCCCATGGGCTTAACAACACGCAGTCTCTTATCTTCACCATCTGTGGTTTTATTAATCAAATGCCATGTTATTTAAACCTAGCACTCCTGGACCTTCCAATCCAGCCTTCCACAGAAGTCATGGGGTTTGCACTTAATGCTTCAACTTCAAACCAGCACCTGCCTTTCCGATTCTATGAACAATCTCGCCGTGGCAGCAGTGATCCAGCTGTACAGCGTTCTGTTTTTGCATCCGTTGACAAGGTACCAGGTAAGCCTAGCCTACAGCTCATATGTAGCTTGCTGTTCATCCTCCTGTTGAGGCATGGAACCTTCTTCCCTATCTTCCCTTCCCCCCTAACTGCTCTCCCCCACCCCCAGCAGCTGTAGGCTGCAGATTTTCGTCCTCGTTAAGCTGTTCAACTCAAAAATAGAGCTGGCTTTGCAGTGTTCTTTCTTTAAAAAGCCATGAAGGTATAATGCCAGGTGAAACTAAAGGCACAAAAATAAATCTTGGCTTTATTTTTTGTTTAGTTTTCCAGGGCATTTCTGGGGTATATAGAAAAACTTCTTAGAACTAAGACCAAGAGATTTCTTGGAAGTTTCTTGGAAATACTTAAATTAGTACTAATAAAGTTGTGGTGGAGTAGTTTCCGTCCCGGGGCAAGATGACTAGAAAGTGATAGTGTGTGTGGTCAGTGTTCTCACCCCACTGAAGAGGTGATACTTAAGAAAAATGTCCTACTATCAACGTTGTGGCTTTTATTTCATCCCATCTCTGAAAATCTTTTCCCACTTTCACCAAAGTGCATATGCTAGGGGATATTTAGGGTGGAGAAGAGGTAATTGGAGGGGAGGTATAGATCATGATTATTATCTTCAGGAATGTGGAAGACTGTTATGTGGTATAGAGATTAAACTTATTTTGCTATATCCTAGAGGGCAGAACTAGGAGCAGTAGGTAGAAATTGTAGAGAGACAGCTTTAAGCTTGACTCAAGGTGAAACTTCCTTCCCACGTACAATGGTCTGGCCTGCAGTGCAAGAGTCCCCTTCATTGGAAGTCCTGAATCAGGACTGAATGGTCAGTTGTCAGGGTTGTGGATTATTGTTCAAGTATGGGTTGGACTGAATAACCTTTGAGGTCCCTTCCAGCTCTGAGGTTCTGGGGTGGGGGGGGAGGGTGTATTTAGAAGGTTTAACTTGAGAAAGTAACATAGATTGCGTCAGTGATAGAAAAACAGGCTCTGTGACCTACTATTTTAACATTTTTACTTAAACCCATAAGTACATTGGATTCCTAGACAAAGTACTTTTCCCTTTATTATAAAACTTCATAAAATCAAGCCAAACACCCAGGCAGCAGTGAATTTGAGAGTAAATGGGGTACAGCGGAAAGAATACTTGATTTGGAGTACGAATTGGGTTCAAGTCCTTGGCTCTACTCCTTGCTATATATATAAAACCTTGGACAAGTTGTTTAACCTCTTTAGGCCTCAGTTTTTCTTCTTGGAAAAAATAGGTTGGAATAGGTGATCTCTAGGGTACCTTCCCGCTGTAAATCTGGGATCCTATGAATTTCTCTATGTATTTAGGATTTAAATTAGAATACCCTACTATATTACAATTTCAGAATCTGTTATGAAGTATTATGTGATTTAAGACAGTTTAAATTTTTATCTGTGTGTTTTTTCAAGATTATCCTTCCTCCACCTCCATTATCTTTCACAGGCTGGTAGTAAAGAAGATCTAGTATTAGCCCTACCATGGGCTTGTCATTTGTGACTATATCCCTTTCTCAGGCATCAAATAAGAGATATCAGTGTTTTCCCTTTATCACCATTCAGAAGTCTGGAGTATTATTTTGAAAAGGAATCATAAAATCTTATGTTTTATAGAATCCACAATAAATGAAAATGAATTCTTAACTATCTAGATGTGTTTAACGTAATTTGGCACAGCATGGCTTAGGAAGTTTACCTTCCTTTAGCATGTAACATGGCATAGGAAGAAGGAAAAGGCCAGAGAGATTTTGTAAATTACTTTTAATCCATTGGAACTTCTTTTCACTTGAGAAAAATGGGAGTAATTTTTTTTTCCTTTAGATGATGTGCTTTTTTTTTTTTAACATTTGCAAGGCAACTTACTGCTTTCTTTTGCCTGCCTTGCCAGCAGCTAGGTGGCACGTTGGTGTAGAAAGCACCAGACCTAGAGTCAACAAGACCTGAATTCAAAAACAGCCTTAGCCAGTTAATAGCTTTGTGATCCAGAGCAAATCACTTCACCTCTCTGCCTCAATTTCCTCATCTATAAAATGGGAATAATAGCACCTGCCTCCCTGAATTGTTGTAAGGATAAAATGAGATTAATATTTGTAAAGTATTCTGGGTCCCTAGCAATACAAATGGTGGCTCCTAGCATTCCTCTCCTCCATTCCTCTTCTTATCTTCAATGGATACATATGTTCTTGACTATAGTCCCTCCTTTGTTAGGGGTTTCTGAAGGAAGCTTAACAATTAGATTTTGCCAATTGGGGATGGTTGATAAGGTTTCTAATTTTCATTCTTTTTTTGTCAGCTCTTCCCCAACCCTCCTAGAAAAAGCTAAACACAATGGGGAAAGTATAACCTCCCCTGTTACAAGTGCAGGTTTTCGAGCACCCCTTGGCTCAGGATGTTGGCTGTTACCCAAAACCAGGGTAGGATTACAGAGTCTTAGTAATAGTGTGCATAACAAAATCTGAATAAGATAAATCACAGTTAGTGACTATTGCATTCCATTGAGGGCATGTGGGCCAGATCACGTGTCTTTCTTTCATTTGTTGAAACACCCAGGAGGGCCAAGAAATTACAGATTTGACCACTGGTTTGATCCACAGTGAATAAAAAGTGAAGTCTGAAGGAAAAAAAAATCTCATGAGTTTAAGAATTGTTTTACTACTTAGGTCATTAAACCAAGGGGTCAGCAGCAAGATTAAGGTAATAAATTTGTTGGCTGTAAATAGTTTATGGAAAGACCCAGGAAGTCAACAAGTATTTAAGCTCCTACTGTGTCCCAGGCTCTGTGCTAAATGCTGGAATAAGGAGGAGTTTGCTGAACAGACTTTAATTTCACTATTCAGAGCTTAATTCATGTTATTTCAGAAGTGTGAGTAGAAATTCCAAAGAACAGATGACATGTGGGAGCTGGATGGTGGGTAGGTAATTAGCATAAAAAAGGAAGACATAGATTTTTCTAACTGAAATCTGCTGCTGATGCTGCATTTTAATTATTTCAACTAATTGTTTATACCACAGTAGACATTCCACATCCAGACTTCCTCAAAGGAATATAATTGCTTAGTTCCCCTTTCCATACTAATAAGAAAAAGTCTACATGACTACTTAGGATATTTTTTGCCACTCCCTCAGAATAATTTATAAGAAAGATGACATATTGAATATATGTTAGTGTTATTACAAATTACCCCAGTATTAAAATTATCTTCCCAGTTATGCTAGTATATATAAATGCATATCATTTTTGTTCCCTCCCTACTGGGATAAGAATCATTTTTTTGTTGGTGGTGGTGAGGCAATTGGGATTAAGTGACTTGCCCAGGGTCACACAGCTGGTAAATGTCAAGTGTCTGGGGTGAGACCGGATTTGAACCATGTCCTCCTGACTGCAGGGCCAGTGCTCTATCCACTGTGCCACCTAGCTGCCCTAAGAATCATTCTTTAACTGAAATACATCCTTTATATTGAGAAGCAGCTGAGCCAGAATTTTGATGGGGGTTAATTAGGTAACTAGCCATGTAACAAATCTAAGTTTTTGTATGTAAACATTTTACTTTATTTTCTTGTTCTATTAGACATATACACGATGTGGTTAAATTAAAACTCTTGAGAAAGGCAAAAGGGCATTTAGAAGTTTAGCCCACCTATATTTAATGCTAGAGATAAAGATCTTATACCACAGACTCAGTTTAAACATAAGTTATAGATGTATCTAAGAATGTAAGAGACCCAAATAAGTAAAGTTGGCAATCTCTTTTATAAAAAGTGAATGAACTAGATTCCCCCAAAGCAAAAGTATCCCCCAAGAAGTAAGAGTTACTTTGAATAATTGTATTCTCTCTTATTCAACTAGGAAACCAGAGTTAAAATTTATTCTTTGCTTACCCGAGACTAAAAGTTTCTTAAGAGGTGCCTACCCTTCCTGGGAGCTATTTATGCTGAGAAAATCTGTTTCAATGTACCAATCTTACAATATTATTCCCCTTCCAACATTGGCTGTCCCCCATTTTTGAATTGCACTACCACCCCCAACCCCTTCTTGGAATCCCTTATTTCCTTCAAAACTTTGCTAAGTGCTACTTTCTATATGTAGCTTTTCCTGATTCCTCTCCCCGCTTCTCTTTCAGTTCCTTTCCACCCCCCACCAAAAAAAAAAAATCACCATTTATCATACTGGATGTCCCAAAAGTCTTAGTCTTTAAGACTTGTTAAAGGGAAAGAAAAGCAAAGCTTGTTACAAACATGTATAGTCAAGCAAAATAAATTCCCATACACACACACACATGCATGTGTGTATGTAAAATGTATATGTGCTATATATTTTAGATATTGAAATATATACATTATATATATTTTGTACACATACAAACACACACACACCTCTCAGACTGTACTGTGTTTGTTATCTCTTTAACTGGAAGTGGGTAGCATGTTTCATTATAAGTCCTCCAGAAATATGGTTGATCATCACATTGACAAAATTTTTGGTCTTTCAAAGCTGTGCATCTTTATATATTATATAAATTGTTCACCTATTTCTGCTCACTTTACTTTGCATCAGTTTCTGTAAGTCTTCCCAGATTTCTTTGAAACCATCCCCTTCATCATTTTTTACAGCACAATAATATTCTATCACATTAGCTATTCCCCAATTATTGGACTCCTCCTCAGTTTCTAATTCTTTGCCACCACAAAAAGAGCTGCTATAAATAGTTTTGTACATGTGGATCCTTTTCCTCTTTCTTTGATCTCTTTGGGACATAGACCTAGGATGTGTACTGCTTAATAGCTTTTGAGATATAGTTCCAAATTTAAGCTGTTAAAGCTTAAAACTGCACTGTGACTTTGGGGACACTGTGTGTGAATATCTTTGTGTGCGTGTACACACACACACAGACACGTGTATGTATATGTTTTCTTCCCTGACCTGACAGTATGCAAGTTTTTTGAGGACAGACATTTCATTTTTGTTTTTTAATGCCTAATGCTTAGCC